GCTGGGCATCGCATCTGGGCTTTATTTTGGGGTGTCCCCCCAGCAGGTCCTCAGCAGTCACTAGGGGTGAGGCCTAAGCTCAGGGTTAAACACCGCCGCGTCCCGCGTCCGGGTGGTGAGCGGGAGCTCGGGCCGGCCTCGAACCTGCGCCAGCTGTGAGCTCAGCCTTCGGTGCTCTGCACGCGAGCCCCGCCCGGCCCTGTCCGGAGGTCGCTCCGGAGATCGGGGTCTGTCCTCGGACTCCTGCCCAGCGGGCCCGGATTACAGGCCGAGCCGCCGACACTGGCAGAATGTTTTCCCTTCGTAGGCTGAATAATGGTCGCTTGTGTGATGGAACAGGTAGAGCCTCGAGTGGCTTCCGCCCACATGATAAATGATTGTTGTGAACACAGGTGTGAGGAAAACCCAGGTGCTGCGTCCGTTTCCAGTTCTGCAGAGCGGGAGCACAGGGTGGACTTCCTGGGTCAGAGGATTCTATTCAGCTTGAGGCTTGAACCCAGGACCTCACCCACCTGGGAACTTACTCTACCCACCCTCTAAGTCCTTCTAAACAGGAGCAGGGGTGTGAAGTGATAGCTCTGCCTCTGATTTGCATTTCTCCAAGGGTCTGGAACATCTTCTCACGTGCCATTGGTAGGTTGTGCTCAGGGAAGCACCAATTCAAGTGCTTCCTAATGTGGGGGGCACCGGGGTCGATCTACAGGCCACACCCCCAGCTTCTAGAGTCAGGCAGTGGATAATCTTTGCTGCCTGACCTCTTGTAGGAAGTCTGCAACCTCTGTCCTAGACTATTGGGGAATCCTTGGAAGGCAGCTTAGGACAGCTGCTGTTTGCTCGCAGATTCGGGGTCATTTTGCCTCCCCCTCCACTCAACCCTGGGGGACTGGGACACGCCAGGGCCAGACCCCTCCCCACTGGGGCACTGTGAGGGTGCAGGTCAGCCAAGGGTCAACACGCGGGGGTGGTGGGATCTCCGCTGGCACCAGTGGCTGGGCTGTGGACCAGCAGCCCTGGCCAGGCCCCTGGGAGAATGTGGGGAACGCACTCCTCACCACCGAATTCCAGCAGAGCCCTGCCCAGGGAAGGCAGGGGTCATCCAGACACAGTTCCCCCATTCTCTTTTTTTGGGGGAGGGTCCGGTCGTGGGGCCTGAACTCTGGGCCTGGGCGCTGTCCCTCAGCTCTTTAGCTCAAGGCTAGAGCTCTACCACTTGAGCCACAGTGCCACTTCCGGCTTTTTTCTTTTTGCTTATGTGGTGCTGAGGAATCGAACCCAGGGTCTCAGGCATGCAAGGCAAGCGCTCTTACCACTGAGCCACCTTCCCAGCCCCGAGTTCCCCCATTCTCTGTTACCCAGAGAATGTGGCTCTTGAGTCGGAGGCTGAGAGGAGGGGAACCGCCCCTCCCAGGTTGGAGGGGCGACGGACTGAGGGCTGGGGGGTGGTACCAGCCCCCCCAGGCAGGGGGGACAGCCTGATGGCTGGGGGTGCCAGCCCCCCCAAGTTGGAGGGGGGACAGACTGAAGGCTGGAGTGGTACCAGCCCCCCCAAGTTGGAGGGGGGAAGGGCTGGGGGTGCCAGCCCCCCAGGTTGGAGGGGGGACCCACTGAGGGCTGGGGAGTGCCACCCTTACTCCAGGACTCTGGGCCGACCTGCTGTCCACACCCAATTTTCCTAACAGTCCCAATCTAGACTCACCCTCAGTGCCCCTGCATTGTGCAGCCCCCCCCCTGCACAGTGACTGACATTCTAGAAGAAATGGCCCCCCCTTTTTTTTTTGGAAGTCCTGCCAGAAATTAAATGAGTAAGTTTGGCTGGAATTGGGTTTGACCCTGAGCACCTAAAAAATAAAAATAAATTTAAAAAGAAGTTTTAAGTTGTGCCATAATATGAATACAAGAAGCCAAACACAATGCCAGGCATGGTGGCTCACACTTTTAAGCCTAGCTACTTGGGACATGGAGATCTGGGGATTGTGGTTCAAAGCCAGCGTGGGCAGAAAAGGACTCATCTCCAATTAACCACTAAAAGCCAAATGTGGAGCTGTGACTCCAGTAGTAGAACCAACCTTGTGTAAAAATCCTTAGGAACAGTGCTTAGGCCCTGAGTTCAAGCCTTAGTACACACACACACACACCTCACACACACACACACACACACACACACGCATGCACTCACACAGAGGCAATACAGGAACAGTGCTTAGGTCCTGAGTTCAAGACACATACACATACACACACACACACACACACACTCACACAGAGGCAATACAGACTCTGAAAGTGGATAGAGATTGAGAGCCAGGCCTGGAGCAGTGCTCCACCCTGGCCCCACACTTCCCCCTCCGGAAGGCAGAGAAGTTATTCCCATTGATATGCAATGCCCCTGGCAGGCTAGGTGCTGGCCTGGAAAGTGGTTCTGGGAAACCAGGGGTGGAGAAAGAGCTGTGCTCATTCCAGGCTGAGGCTGTTGCCTGAGTGACCTCAACACCCCTGTAGGTGGGCAAGCCCAGGATCGCCCCCAAGTGATTCCCAGGGGAACCTCGGCTCCGTTTTAGTCTCACCTGCAGGCTGAATGGTAGCCCCATGCTTTGGTGCTGTCAACTGCCAAGAAGACCAGCAGAAAGGATTGTAATAGATGCTTAAGCTACTCCTTCTCCCTCGCCCCCCCTTGTCAGTTATGAGACTTGAACTCAGGGCCTGGGTGCTGTCCCTGAGCTCTTTTGCCCAAGGCTAGCCCACTACCACTTTGAGCCATAGCCACTTCTTTCTTTCTAGCAGTTAATTGAAGAGTCTCAGACTTTCCTTGCCTGGGTAGGCTTTGAACCAAGATCCTCAGATCTCAGCCTCTCAAGTAGCTAGGATTACAGCTCTGGGCCTCAAGCTACTTTTTGCTTAGAATCCTTGACTATTCATTCAGGTGGGTGTTTAAGATAATTCAAAGCCAGGTAAAACTCCAGGGCCCCAGGCTCTACTCAGTGACTGTTCCCTTCCCTTGGGCAGTCCCTTTACTGTCACCTTTGATTCCAGTAAGCACAGATAAACATCTCCAAACAAAAGGCAAATTGCCCCTCAGACAAACAATACCTTCTTTATCTCCTTTCTCTAACTCCTTTCCCCCAGTCTGGAGTGTGGGGCTAGAGGCAGAATCTGAAATGTAAAATTCCTAGAGTAGATTTTGGCATCCAAAATTCCAGCTTCAACTTCACAAAAGGAAAAACAAAAACAGAAAAGAAGGCTGGCCAACTGCTGGGAAAAATCTCTGTGCAATCCCAGAACAGGGGTGCAGGCCTGGCCACACCCTTCTCTACCCCCAAATCCAGACCCCCCACTCCTAGAAGGTGAGAATGATTTGAGAACTTTTCGCCCAGCTCTTCCACTGTTGGCCAGTAAAAGTCCTCGTCACTGCCCCGTTAGCGTGGGGTCTCATTACTGGCTCTACAATTCCAGGAGGGAAAAGACAGTTTTGGGTAAAACCTGGCCACAGCGTTTGTCTTCTTGGGGTGAGGAGCTAGCTGTTTGGGACTGAGAGAGGTGGTGGCTACAAGACATTGCGCAATGCCACAGAATCATTCATTCTGCAGTGGTCCTGTGAATCTCCTCTCAATAAAGAAGGAGGAAGAGTAAGGTTTGGATAGCTCACACCTGTCACCCTAGCTACTTAGGAGGCTGAAAACTGAGTATTGCAGTTTGAAGCCAGCCCAAAAAGAAAAGTCTGAGAAACTCTTATCTCCAATTAGCTTCTCTGGGAGAAAAAAAGGAAGTGAAACTCTAGCTTTTTTTTTTTTTTTTTTTGTCAGTCATGGGGCTTGAACTCTGGGCCTGGGCGCTGTCCCTCAGCTCTTCAGATCAAGGCGAGCACTCTACCACTTGAGCAACAGCGCCACTTCCGGTTTTCTGGTGGTTTATTGGAGATAGGAGTCTCACGGTCTTTCCTGCCCGGGCTGGCTTTGAACCTCGATCCTCAGATCTCAGCCTCCTGAGTAGCTAGGATTACAGGTGTGAGCCACCAGCGCCCGGCTGAAACTGTAGCTTGAGTGGCTTTCCAGTCTCCTTGAGCAGAAACACACAGGGACAACACCCAAGCCCTAAGTTCAAGCCTCAGGACCCAGAGAAAAAAAAAGGAGAGAAGGAGAGTCAGGCCACGGTGGCTCTCACCTGTAAGTCTAGTCTTCGTGGCTATTCTGGAGGCTGAGATCTGAAGATTGTGGTTCACAGCCAGCCTGGCAGAGAAGTGCCCTGAGACTCTCATCTCCAATTAACCACTCGAAAACGGGAAGTGGTGCTGTGGCTTAACATGGCAGAACACTAGCCTTGAGCTCAGGGATAGTGCCCGGGCCCCCAGTTCAAGCCCCATAACTGACCCTCAAAAAAAAAGCCTCACAGACTCCTGCCCAGGCTGACTTTGAATTACAATCCTCAGATCGCAGCCTCCCCTTAGCTAGGATCACGCGCATTACAGGCTTGAGCCGCCAGCGCCCTGCTTTGATCAGCGCCCTGCCTGGTTCACTCAGGGGTCTGGCATGAGTCATGGCCACCTGTCACCTTGATGTCACTGCATCACTTGGGAAGGTGACAGAGTAGATGGTGGTGGCGGCAGCACCCCTGTGGTGAGCTTCACACCACAGCAATGTGGCCCCAAAATGGTTGATTTTCTGTTTTCTTCATTGTAACATTTAAGAAGCAGAAATCCAGAGGCTCAGACCCAGTCCCAGAAAACCTGCTGAGATTCTATCAGGGCAAAGGCCGAGGAGTGACGTTAAGTGCAGAGCGTGTGATCCTGAAGAAATACGCATAGACACCTGGACCCCTGCTTCATCTAGAGCATGGGAGGAGCTGCCGGGCAGAGAGCAGCCGGGCCGGAGGCTGTACAAGCCACCCAGCCTTGTGAGGTTAGCTGCTTCGGTTCTTTGCTTGTTGGTTGTCAGAACTGGACGGAACTCAAGGCCTGTTTATATTAGCATGAAGGGGACTTGGCCAGGCTGCTTGCTCCAGCTATAATAGACCATATGACTGTGTATGGTTGGGGGGGAGCGGGGTGAGGATGGATGGATGTGTGTGTGTGTGTGTGTGTGTGTGTGTGTGTGTGTGTGTGGAGTGTGCTGCTCCTGGGGCTTGAACTCAGGGCCTGGAGGCTGTCCCTCAGCTTTCTCACTTAAGGCTACTGCTCTACCACTTGGGTCACAACTCCACTTCTAGCTTTTTGGCAGATAATTGGAGGTAAGAGTCTCATAGACTTTCATGTCAGGGGGCTGGCTTGAAACTGCATTCCTCAGATCTCAGCCTCCTGAGTAGCTAGGATTACCGGCATGAGTCACCGGCTCTCAGCTCAGAGCATGCAAATGAAGGACTATGTTTGGACCAATCACAGGCCTTCTGCTGGGCTACCGGGGCAAGGGCTCTGCCTCTGGCCTGGGCGGAAGGGCTGCTGCGGGACACGGAGGCTTGTGAGTGGAGACTGCTGTGCGCCAGCAGGTAGTTGCTGTCTCGTTCCCTTTCGACATCCATGGAGAGTTCTGAGCAGCTGGGCTGCCCACCGTGATCTGTCTGTTTGGTTGATGACACTAAGCCATGACCTAGCGGCTGTCAATTATGGAGTCAAATCACCCCAAACCCTACATCCTGGCTTACTTAAGTAAAAATAATAATAAGGGGCTGGGAATGTGGCTCTGTGGTAGAGTGCTTGCCTGCCATGCGTGAAGCCCTGGGTTTGATTCCCCAGTACCACATGAACAGAAAAAGCCAGAAGTGGTGCTATGGTTCAAGTAGTAGAGTGCTAGCCTTCAAAAGAAGCTCAGGGACAGTGCCCAGGCTGTGAGTTCAAGCCCCAGGACTGGCACCAAAAAAAAAAAAAAAGAAAGAAAGAAAGAAAAAAGTTAAATCAGACTCTCCTCCAACCTCCAAAACCAAAACCCAAAAAGCAAAGACTCTACAAGTCATGAGGAGTAGGGGCTGGGGTAGGGTGGGGGCTGAGAAAGGTCCCAGGACACGGGCCCAGGCTTGTAGAGGGATTTGTCCCGGCTGGGTGTGGGGCTCCGAGAACGGAAAGGTGTCTGTTCCCTGGGAGGAAAGGAGCCCCGTGGATACGGCAGATGCCTGGCCCTGGCTCAAGCCTCATGACGTGGCTGCAGGCATCACCCTACCCCCTGCCCACGGACGCCACACCAGCTGCTGCCTGGGTTACCTGGCGCCCAGCCAGAGCCAGAATTCAGGTGGCAGGCCCCAGGGCTCTGAGGCAGAGGAGCCAGAGTCCTCAGCTGTGCACCGCGGACACCACACCCGCACACATGTGTGGGGCACACGTGGGACTGTGGGGCTGTGGCTTTTCGACTCAAAGGGCAGTTACTCGGGCCCCATCTTCCCGGTGCTGAGGTCTCCCACCTTTCCCAGCTGACCCTGGGGGGTGGAATTCCTGTCCTTGGGGCTGGAGGCCACGTGTGCGGGTTCTGGTTGGCCTGTGGTCAGTGCAGCTTCAGGAATAACTTCTAGGCTGTGACCCCGTGCTCCTGGTCCCTGTCCAGGCCCCAGCCTTGGGTCCGCTGGTCGCTCAGTAGGGCAGTCCGTCACTGAGCTACTGGTGAGGAGGACATACACGGGGACTGGCCAGAGGCGCCGGGGACACCTGCACGGCTCTGTGCTGCTGAGACTTCTGGAGCCGTGGTGGCCGTGACGTGTACGCACCTGGACCGGACACGCAGCAGGGCGTCCCGAGGGTGGAGCTGCTGGACCGCACTCACGCCGCCGCAAGCACTGGCTGTCATCCACTCAGCTCACTGCGGATCGGCCCCTCTGGAGTCTGATTCAACTTCATTTGCTCACCAGCTCCACCCATGCGGGCCCTTGGCCCATCCTCACCCCTGCTGGGCACGCCCTCCCCTTTGAACCTGCCATGGCTGGTGTTCTGAGCCTGTGAGCATTCAGCCCAGTTGGGTGCCTACCTGCCCAGCTTGCTGTCTGTCTCCTTTTGTGTTTGTGACAGACTGGGACTCCATGTGGTTTCTGACGCTTTCACTCGCGGGCTGGTGCTCTACCACCTGAGCCACAGCCCCAAGCCCAGGGTCTCTTCTTATTCTTTTTTCCAGCTATTGGTACCTATCACAGGATAATTGCCCCCGCATTAAAGGGGCAGCAAAACATGTTGGGGTGCTCTTTCTGAATGCTCTATCTGGTCTGGATCCGTTTGTGGCTGTGTGTGTGCGCGTGCGCTGGTGCTGGGGCTTGAGCTCAGTGCCCTCCCCCACTTGCTTTGGGAGGAATAGTTGGGGTGCCTGGCCTTCACTTGCGGGCCCAAGTAAACAATCAGGGCTTTTCAGCAAACCAAAATCAACGTCTCATGATATTGTTGCGTAGGAAAATACCTCATTCTTCAAGAGAGATGCAAAGTGCTCGAGTAACACGTTATGATGTGTTTGTTATGCTTTAAAATTATTGCAGCAAAAATAAAAATAAATGAATCAACATGGCTGTATACAAACAATGATTGCATCCAGGCACGTGTATGATTGCTCATCCTGAAACCAGAGTTTTAGGCTCCAGCCCTGGTTCCAAGCACTTGCCCCTGCATGACCAAGAGACGGCAAAAGTCCTTCCCTGGGGGAGGCAGCTTGCCTACAAGCTCTGCCGGTGCTCGCTCTAAACACTTACATCCAGACGCATGCTCAGCCCTGTCCTCCAAGGGTTCTTGGGGGCCTGGGAACAGCGGCTGATAAAAACAGAGGCAGGAAGCTGGGCACCGGTGGCTCACGCCTGTCATCCTAGCTACTCAGGAGGCTGAGATCTGAGGATCCTGGTTCAAAGCCATCCTGGGCAGGAAAGTCCATGAGACTCTTATCTCCAATTAACTACCAGAAAACCAGAAGTAGCGCTGTGGCTCCAGTGGTAGAGTGCTCACCTTGAGCTGAAGAGCTGAGGGACAGCGCCCAGGCCCAGAATTCAGGCCCCACAGCCAACCAAAAAAAAAAAAATGGAGGCAGGAATGGCTCCCAAGCATGTCTTCCTCTTTTAGTTTATGTGTGGGCTTAAGTACCTGTTATAACTCAGCAACTTTGTGTGTGTGTGCACGCGCGTGTGCACATGTACATGTACACTCAAGCGTGCACACATGCAGGTACCTGGGCTCAAACTCAGGGCTTTGTGCCCTCCTTTGGCTTTTTTTTTTTTTTTTTGTCAGTCGTGGGGCCTTAACTCTGGGCCTGGGCGCTGTCCCTCAGCTCTTCAGCTCAAGGTGAGCGCTCTACCACTTGAGCTACAGCGCCACTTCCGGTTTTCGGGTGGTTTATTAGAGATAAGAGTCTCACGGACTTTCTTGCCTGGGCTGGCTTTGAACCAACACCCTCAGATCTCAGCCTCCTGAGTAGCTAGGATAACAGGCGTGAGCCACCGGTGCCCAGCTCCTTTGGCTTTTTTTTTTTTTTCTTTTTTGTCCATTCAGCCTGGGCTGAGCTTCTTTTGCTCAAGGCTAGCACTCTATCACTTGAACCACAGCTCCACTTCTGGATTTTTCTGTGTATGTGGTACTGAGGAATTGAACCCAGGGCTTCATGCTTGCTAGGCAAGCACTCTACCACAAACCCTCCCTCTCTGCCCCCTCCCTTCCCTTCCCCTTCATTTTGTTGCAACATTTCCACACATTTACAGTATTACAGTAGATTCCAATCACTCCCACCCCCCATTGCTTCCTTCCCAGAGCAATTTCAACAAGGTTTCCACGTGTCCTAAGCGGCTGAAGATCTACTTCAAGGAATTTCAACCTCTCAGGCTTCCTGTTAACTCAGCCCGCCCTTTACAGAACCTGAGTGTTTTCCTGGCCCGCCCCACACCAACTGATCCGCAGATTTGATTGAAGGACTAATTTCTTTATTGTATTATTATTGTTGTTGTTGTTATTGTTATTATTGTGTGTGCATGCGCGCATGTGGGCAGTTCAACTCAGGGTGACGGGCTCTCACTTTTTTCTTTTTTGCCAGTCCTGGGGCTTGAACTCAGGGCCTGGGCACTGTCCCAGGGGCTTTCTGGCCATTCTGGCTTTGCATGGTGATCCTCAGATCTCAGCCTCCTGAGTAGCTGGGACTGTAGGCGTGAGCCACCAGTGCCGGGCATCAAAATGTGGGAAATTTCCTTGTATGGTTGAGACCCCCCAAATCAGAAACATCTGGGAAAGGAGGCCCAGACCACCATCTGTGTGCCCTAGGTGGGTGTAGAAACAGCTGCAAATTTCAGAATCATAAACCACTCTTATCTTGGCCACCAGAACTGTGGTCAACCAGTTGGAGAGGGGCCACTGGACCACAGGACCGTATTTCCCCAGATGAGAAAGTGTAAAGGCTACCGCTGGGAATCAGGGTTTTGAGTCTTGAACTCTCATTTCCACAAAAGCATACACCATGAGGAATCCCCTCAAACAACTGTCGGTTCTGGTCCTGACAGTCGGGTGGAAGCCGTCCATTTTGGGAAGATATAAAGCTCTCTCCACCCGTGCCTGACACACACCCATGCTGGCAGTGAGGGCGCAGACCACAGACCTCTCCTTCCTGGACCAGGCGGGGGTTTGAACTCTTCCCCAGGTGCTGTGGGCCTGCGGAGCCCCTTTCCCCTCTGGGGGCCTCAGGGAGCTCCAGGCCTGGCCCCAACCCAACTGCCTCCCAGGAGGAGAGCCCCTGGCAGGACGGTTCGGGGCATTTAGGTTTTTCAGCAACAAACCTGTCCAGCAGGCTGGGGTGAAGTGGCTGATTGCTCAGAGGGCTGGGTGGGGCGTGGGGGCCAGGCCGGTGGGCTGGTTCCCCTCCCTGCAGTAATGAAGACAGGGCTGACAAGATGAAGAAGTGGCGCAGGGCAGCTTACCCCGTCACCCGGCTACTCAGGAGGCAGAGATCTGAGGGCTTCCATTCAAAGTCAGCAAGTTCTCAAGTTTCTTACCTCCAATGAAGTAGCAAACTGCTAAAGTGGAGGCATGGCTCAAGTGGTAGAGCACCAGCTGTGAGCCAAAAGCTGACCAAGAATGGGAGACCTTGAGTTCAATCCCTGGTATTGGCACAGAACTAAAAAGAAAACACAACACTTTCCACCTCCCCGTCCCCCGCCCCCTCCAAGTCCCAGAACTCTGGACTCTGAGGCAGGAGGATCAATATAGCAAGACCTTGCCAACTAAAATACAAAATAAAACCATACACTCAAGCAGTCCAAGTCAGAAGGGGCTGGCCAGCCTGGGCACCTGCTTTTAGCAAGGACACAATCTGCTTTTCCAAGCCCACAATCTGGTTGACAAATGTGGAAGAGAGGCCTGGAGATAAGCTGGCTCAGCGAGGATCACCGGCCAGTTCAGGGCAGAAAGGAGCTGGAGCTGTTGCCGGCCTGGACAGGGCAGGGGTGGAAGGTCGGAGGCCATCTGTGCCTGGCTTGTGGGCCAGAGTCCAGCCGGGCAGGCCATGCTGTGAGGCGGGAGCAGATTGCATCAGGGCCAAGCTGGGGGTGGGAATTCCCAGGTGACGCAATGTAGGTCCAACATCCTGGTGCAGGCCCCGGGGCCTTTGCCCAATCTCTGTCCCTCCAGCCAGGTGGGCCTCCTAGGCTGGCTGTGTGCGTGCAGGGGGAGGCAGCCAGAGTACCGGTTCTCCCTGCAAACCCAGGCAGCCCTCTTCCCTGCCGAGTTAATTAGGGGGTAGTTGTTTACTTGCTATTACCTGAACACAGGCACAACCCATCTCCTGACGCTTTGAGCTGCCTGGCCCAGTTCACAGAGAGCCTTTCCAGTTCCAACTCCCGGAAGAGCTGGGGGAGCTGCTCACTCAGCCCCCAACTGGCAGCCGGGAGGGACCTGTCAGCACCGCAGTCCTGTGGAACAGGACTCAGGAGTCCCTGGGGAGTCTGCTACCTGTTTCGGCTTGAACTCAGGGTCTGAGTGCTATCCCTGAGCTCTTTGGCTCAAGGCTAGCGCGCTACCTCCATCCACACCTCCAGTCCCAGCGCAGCCTGGTCACTGCCAGACTCGGGGTGGGAAGGAGTCAGGAAGATCAGACAGGCTGACCCTACCACCTTGGCCAGTGCCAAGATCACAGGGCTGAGGGGAGGCCAAGCGACAGGCCTGGCTGAGAGCAAGCTGGGCATCACGGAGCTGCTGGGCTGGGCGCAAGCCGGGTGGGCAGCACAGAGCCGCCGGGCTGGGCTTTCCCCGCAAGCTGGGGATGGGGGGGTGGAGGTCTTGTGGCCAGGATTCCCAAGTCACCCCCCAGCTGCCACCCCAGGAGGTTGCAGGGTGACAAGTGACCCAGGGAAGGATCTTGTCCGGAGCTGCTCTCCCGTGCAGGCCTGCGGAGAGCAGAGATGGAGAGCATGCCTGCAGCTTTGGGTGCTCGGCCGCCCCCCTCCCACCCATGCGGACGGGCTGGGGGGGGGCCCAGGGAGCCTCCTGTTTACCTCTTGGTCCCAAAGGGCACAGAGCTTTTTCCGGGTGCTGGGGACATGCTAGGCAAGAGCTCTCCCACGGAGCCGCCCCCAGCTGGTGTAGAAAAACTTTATTAGTTTGGATTTTAAAATGACAGTGAGACTTCTGGGAGAGGGCCCTGAGCTCGGCACCCTCGCGGGGTCCCCCCACAGGCCGCAGCACAGCCCTGTGGACCAGGGCTGGGGCGGCCATCACTTCTGGGAGTGGGTGGCAGATGGCAGGCTGGCGGGGGAGCACAGGCCTCTGCCTGCACACCCGCCCTCTCCCCGGGCCGGCTCCGCTCCAAGGGTCAGCAGAGCAGGCTCTAGGCTCTCTGCACCAGGTGCCAGAGGTGTGGATGGAGGGGTGTGGATGGAGGGGTCCGGGGATGTGGATGGAGGGGTGGAGGGGTCTGGATGGGGGAGTCTGGGGGTGTGGATGGAGAGGTCTGGGGGTGTGGATGGAGGGGTCTGGGGGTGTGGATGGGGGAGTCTGGGGGTGTGGATGGAGGAGTCTGGGGGTGTGGATGGGGGAGTCCAGGGGTGCGGATGGAGGGGTCTGGGGGTGTGGATGGAAGGATCTGGGGGTGCAGATGAGGGAGCCCGGGGGTATGGATGGAGGGGTCTGGATGATAGGGTCTGGGGATGGTGGTACCTGGGGGGTTTGGATGATAGGATCTGGGGGTTGTGGCTGATGGAGTCTGGGGTGAGGATGATTCGGTCTGAGGGGTGTGGATGCTGGAGTCTGAGGAGTGTGGCTGATAGGTCTGAGGAGTGTGGATGGTAGGGTCTGGATGATAGGATCTGGGGATTGTAGATGGCGTCTGGGGGTGTGGATGATGGCGTCTGGGGGTGTGGATGGTAGGGTCTGGATGATAGGATCTGGGGGTGTGGATGATGGAGTCTGAGGGGTGTGACAGTGGTGTCTAGGGCACACGCCTGCCTCTACTGTCCTCTGCTGTGCTGCCCTCCCCTCAGATCAGAGCCAGGGGCTCGGCCTCCCTCCCTCTCACACGTCCAACTCCAGGAGACAATGCTGTGCCTGCCTGGCCGCTCCTGGAAGCCCCCATGCCTACCACTGCTCTCCTGCTCCCCTGCCTGGGGCCCAGGGCTCACCCCACTTGCTCCTGAAGCCTCGACCCGGGTGGGTCCCCCACACAGCCCGCAGGACACCTTGCCACAGCCATGGTGCTGGCAGGCCGGCTCAGGGGTGCGAATGCCCCCCGGGCCCGTCCCAGCACAGAGGGAACGGGAGTCGGCGGCGGCACATGCCTGTGGCTGAGCCCAGGACTCCGAACTTGTCAGAGCAGGGGCCTGGCTGGGGGCGGCCGGTGGGGTGGGCCCGGAGCGGAGCGAGCGGGGACCCTGCTGGCAGCCGGCTTTGGCTCCGAGCAGGGCTCTGGGTCAGTGTGTCCGTGTCTGCACTTGGAAGTTTCTCCACTGGGCCTCGACTCCCTATTGGTGGCCGAGCACAGGGCCGGCTCAGGGGGCAGAGAGGTCAGGAGGGCCACCAAAGCGCAGGACATCAGAGCCGCTGCGACCAGAGCAGGGATGGCGTCCTCCCCGCTGCCGTCCGGGGTCCCTGCCAGGTGAGGTGGGAGATGCCTGATGTGGGGCCCGAGGCTGGGCCCGCGGGCGGCCCACAGCACGTGTGGTCTTGCCCCTGGGGTTCCCTCTTCCTTTGTGGCCAGCGTCTCCCTCAGGGTGCCCGGGCAGGGGCCAGAGAACCCAGTGTCCAGGGCGGCAGTGGCAGCAGCGGCAGCAGCAGCAGCAGCTTTGGGGGCCCTGGGGGTGAGAGCCGATGTGCGGCAGAGGTGCAGGAGCAGGTGGCCGGGCTGTCCTGGGCTCCGCTGCGGCCCTGTGCCGGCCCCGCATGGCCGCCGTCCTCGGCAGGAGGCTCTCCGCACACCAGCCAGTCCCGGGCCGTGGACTGCGGGTATCCAGGGGCCACCTCTAGCTCGCCGTCCAGCACCTTCCAGTACTCCTGGCCGCGGAAGAAGTAGGACGCACCTGCAGAGAGGATGCGGGCGGTGGTGGGGCAGCCCTGCGTCTCAGGGGGCCTCAGACCGGCCCTGAGCAGGCCTGGCTGGAGGTGGGAATGGGCTGCCACCTCTAGCTTCCTCCCCGTACACGGTTTTGATCTAGCATCTGCTCCGTGCAAGCGGCTCTAGTTGCTGGGGACACAGCACAAAGGGTGGGGACCCAGGACCAGTGCTTCAGGGAGTTCTAGGCAGAGCCCCAGGGCTGGTATAGTGAGCAGGTGACGCTCAGGAAGGGCCTGTGTGGGCACTGGGCCAAGGCCGGTGAGGGTGTGTGTGCGCGTGCGCGTGCGTCCATCGTGGCAGGTGCAGGGGACTGAGGCGGAGTGTTTGGGTGTGGGTGGACCTGGGCCGGGGCAGATGAGGGGGTGTGGTGGTTACAGATCCAGGAAGGCCAGGGCCTCTCAAACGTCATGGGTCAGTGGCTGACCACACCGCTGCACGTGTGGGGGGGGGTCGCTCCTCCCAGAAACACCACTGCGACTCATGTTCCACACAGAGGAGGGAATGGAGGGCGGGCAGCTCTGCCCGCACCCAGCGCTCACCATCAGACCAGCGCATGGCGTCGTCCGGGGGGCTGGGGACGCCCCTCCACAGGGGCCCCTGGACAGGGTAGCCGGGGTCCATGCGCCGGGTGTGGTCATCATAGCGCCAGTACAGCTGGTCCTTAAAGAAATAAGTCCTGTCATTGTGCTCCTGGGAGAAGGCGGCATCCACACCGCCCGGCGGAAGGCTGAAGTCGGAGATGGGCCGCGGGTATCCTTCCTCTACGTTATTGTCCTTAAACACCCAGTATCTGTCTCCTGGGGGTGAGAGAAAGAGCCAGCGGCAGGGCTCAGCTCAGCTCAGCCCGGGGTGGGGAGCTCCGGCTGGGCTCTCCTGTGTCTGTCACCCTCACCCAGGCAGGGGGCACAAGGTGCTCACCACCCCACCCCCCCCCAGGGCCTGCGTCCTCATGAGCATTCACTGAGCACCGACTCTGCGCCTGGCATTGGTCACCAGGTTACCAGCCACCTGTGTGTGTGGGCATCCACTTAGTGCCGGGGACGGAGATCTGAGAAGCACCAGCGGCCCCACAAAGCTTTCTTGCCTTCCCTATCAGTGTTCCACACACAGGGTGGGGACAGATTCACAGGCAAAGACACAGAGTCAGAGGCCCAACCTCACAGCTCTGTGGACTTCACGCAGGAGTGAGCTACTAATGCCCTTGGCCTGGACCGGGTTTGCACACGCGTCCCATAAACATTCCTAAGCATCTGGTGCTGGAATCACAGTCCAGCACTTGAGCCAGGAGGAATCAGAGTTCAAGGCTGGCCTGGGCTGCACAGAGAGGCCCTGACTACAAAGCAAAAAGCAAAACACAGAAAACGGCTAGCCAAAAGCCAAAATGACACAAACACCGCACGCAACAAGCAGCCAGTACGGCTCATCTGTGGGGAGACGCAAGGGGAGAGGCACAGAGTGCGTGCAGGTGCGCGTGAAGCGCAGGCTGGCCAGGACGTGGAGAGGAGCCTGCGCTGGCTGCGGGAGGAGGAGGGCACAGCCATCGTGGAGAGGAGCACCACGGTTTCTCAAAACATGAAACAGCTGAGTGTTGGTGGCTGCTCACCCCTGCAATCAGCCAGGGACTGGTGGCTCACACCTGTAATGCCAGCTGCTCAGGAAACTGAGATCTGAGGATCGTGGTTCCAAGCCAGCCCGGGCAGGAAAGTCCATGAGACTCTTTTTTTTTTTTGGGGTCCGGTTGTGGGGCCTGAACTCTGGGCCTGGGTGTTGTCCCTCAGCTCGTCAGCTCAAGGCTAGCACTCTACCACTTGAGCCACAGCTCCACTCCCGGCTTTTTTCTTATGTGGTGCTGAGGAATCGAACCCAGGGCCTCAGGCATGCAAGGCAAGCGCTCTACCACTGAGCCACCTTCCCAGCCCCTCCATGAGACTCTTATCTCCAATGACCACCAAAAAATCGGAGCTGTGACTCAAGTGGTAGAGCACTAGCCTTGAGAAAAAGAAACTCAGGGACAGTGCGCTCCAACACTGACAAACAAATAATTTTTTTTTTTTTTGGTTGGTCATGGGGCTTGAACTCTGGGCCTGGGCGCTGTCCCTCAGCTCTTCAGCTCAA